GGACTACAGCCCACTGCATCCGAAGAAGTGGGCTGTAGTCCACGAAAGCTTATGCTCTAATAAATTTGTTAGTCTCTAAGGTGCCACAAGTACTCCTGTTCTTCTTTTTGTAAAATTAAAGTCATGTGAGTCTCTTTGGTCTTCAAGTGTTGTACAAAAGAAATCCAGTATTCCCACACTTCAAATATTAGAAAGGCTATAGTTTTGTTTAAGGCTTTTGGTGACACATGCTAAAACATTCTCTTCCTCTCTGTGGTTTTCATTAGAAACCTTCGCAAATTTACTGCATTATAGTTTCTCTACAGTCGTATATAGTGTTAAATCATGATAAATTCATTTCTGGAAACATGCCTCATAATAGGGGCATAAAAATGAATTTCAGAAAAAAATAGTAAGTAGTTTGGGATTCATTTATTTTTATTTCATACAATCAAATATATTCAGAAAAACGTCAAACTAAAGAAAATGACTAACCTGGTTACATAGCATGAGAACTGTAGAGTGTATATGGCCTGGCATTTGTCACCTGAGAACAGCAGTCCATGTCAAGGAAAGTGAAAAGTACCATGTGTTTGATGTTATTCTCAAAGTACATCTCTCTTGACAGTGACAGTGCCAAGAATGGCTATTCCTTTTGACTGGCACGGTGTGCAAGACAAGGTAGCACTCCTGGGACTGATGCTCTGTGGCAGATAGGCACTTAGCTACCTGCAACAGTTTGCTAGAGGCAGGCTTTTTGTTATTTTTATTCTGCTCCGTCTCTAATCCACATTATGAAGTCTGCAGTTTTTACTTCTTTCATAAGGGATCTTATGATTTATGACAACTACATCTACATAAATGTGGTTTGTAATAAATAGGCTGTAAGTGATTGTGACTTTAGGACATAACAGCTACATCTCTGTAATGAGTGCCAGTCCTAATCCCTTAACATCAATTTTATGGAAGCTTGTGACTTGCTTTACCTCAAATAAAACAGCTCAGTAAAACAGAGAGACTTTATTTCAGAACTACTAGAAGCCTCATGAAAACCTATTCTTGCAAGTTTTTCCTACCTAATTTTGCAGACTTTAGAGGTTTGAAGAAGCACTAGACAGGTGTCATTCAGTTTGTCCATCACTAATCCAATAACATTTTGATCATATGAACTTTTCTTATCACAGCAAGTGCATTCTCCTAAATTTTAAGTGTCACTTTAGTTTAGACACTGTTTATGCTCAAATAAATTCCTTAGTCTCTAAGGTGCCACAAGTACTCCTGTTTTTTTTTGGAAGCTTTGTAATTCAGCTAGAGAGAGGGCCACAATTTGGAGACATGACCTGTTTTTGTTAATAAACAATCATTTATACATTTTTGTGTGCATCACTTGCACACACAAGTGAGACTGCATAGTTCAGTACCCATTGGCATACTCACACTTAGTGCCAATATACATACAGCCTATGCATGCAGAGATTCCAGCATTTGTGCACACAAAATAGTGTGCCAGATTGCTCAAAGGAATATACATACAAATGGCAGGCACACAGACAAACTGTGATAAGGCTCCTTTTAAAATATTGTGGCACACTAGTATAGATGCCATGCCCATTTAATTAATGAGAAAATGCCTGATTTAATGTCAGTCGGTGGATGCCTCTAGTATTCTTTTGTTTTTTAAATTCCTTTCCAAGCATGTGCCCTGGAAGTGAAGGAAAATCCTTGTAAGATTATTCTACTTACCACAGTCAGCACTGACATAATTTTCAAACAGGCTTCCCAGCAGTTTGTTGGCAGATTTTTGAAAAATGCCCACCACAGTTTCATTAAGTGGGTCTTTGTTTTTCTCAAGCCAGCCAATGATGTTATAGGGCACCTAAGAAAGAACCATGTGGTCCAAAATGTAAGAAAAATAAACCATGTCAAACACTTTCCCCAGTAGTCTATGTCTCACACTTTCTTCCTCAGAAGCAGCTACAGTTTTTTACAGCTTGGTTTGAAATTAATGGCACAAGCTTTATCCTGTAAAACACTTCATAGGGAATCACTCTCATGAGCCATACCTGCTGTTTAGTCTCTAATTCTCTGCTTCCCGATTCCTGGCTCCCACTCCCAACAATTCCCCATCTGAATCCTCTATATCCCTTCCCAATCTTGCAATTCCCTCATCTTTCCAGTGTCTCAATGTGTTCTGTGGCCCTGCAGGCCACTAGAAAGAACCCCATATGCCCCGGGTGGGCATATCTTGAACCATATCTTGAGAACTGTTAATAGAACAGACAAGTTACGGTTCTATATTACAACAATAGGCCCTCGACTATTCCAGAGCTCTCTATTGGATTTTCTGATGTAAACCTCTTAACTGAAGTCTCTTAAAAAGATACAATTCCTGGCTCTGCCTTAAGCAACCCAAGCCACCCATGCTTCAGTTTCCCCACCTGTGAAATCGGAATAATGATATTGACTTCCTTTGTAAAGTGCTATATAAAAAGAGGATATTAAATATATTTGATAATAATATAAAAGTAGGTTAAAGTTCAATGGTACTCTGAATAGTGAGTCTAAAAGTGGCCTCATAGGGTGTCAACATTTTCTCAATGACTCCATATCAGATTTGCTCCATTTGAGTAAAAGATGTTTTTTCTTTTGCCAGTTCTGAACACTCAACTCAGAATGAGAAACTAGGTTCATTCTGATTCACATATTATCTTTCCCTCTCATCTGCGACAGATTCTGCAGTTAGACCTTAGTTAATAATCCGGTTGATTATGCAAGGGGGAGAACAGTGTTGGCTCTGCAACACTAAACAGGAGTGAAAAGCAGTAAAACCTTGGTTTGGTTGCCAACATAGCCACATATGACTGAATTCGTACAGGGAATCAATAGGTCAAGTAAGATGGTAGCATTTTTATATGGTCACTTTTCTGAAGGTGGGTAACTTAGGGTGATTTCACAGACAAGACTAGAAACACCTTGGCAAATCTTCACTAAACCACCACGCATCCTCCTTAACTTGGCCTGTTATATCCACGTTTTGATGCACCTGGATCCCTATATTTCAATGTGCTGTAATATCTAGGGCACAGGGGTTGATGTTATCCTTATTTCTGACTGGCCCTGTTTTTTTTTTTTTTAATTTTAACTATAAGGGGTTTTTTTGGTGGCTATGGGATGAATCCATTTGGAGGAATTCTAGTACAATGTCGATCTCTGATGATACTAGAAACTTACCGCACCAGCATAATGAAGAAGTTCAAAGTGGGCTTCAAATTTCTTTTTCTTGTCAATCCGAGGTTTCTGAAGGTTGGGTGACTTGCCAAGATGGTTGTCATAAAGTTTGGCTTTGAATGTCATATCTGTAGCCTTTGGGAACATGCACTCCTCTTCCAGGATAGACAGGATGCCCAATGGCTATTGATCCAAAGAGATGTTAATAAGAAAATCTTTAGGATTCAGTTTTTATGATTAAGCAGATTTTAGTAGCTGTGTCACAGCTAGGCTTGACTGGATGAATTCCATTTCACAGGATTCCTTGTCATACTGACTGGGTGACTCATGTTTATTCTGTTAAATCAGCAAGCAGACTTTTGACAGTTCACTATGAAACTTCTGCCTTGGGAGGTTTTACACTGACTTCTGATAGCATTTCATACGGATTTTCAGATTTCACTTTATTAACTTCCAAGGCATTTGACTGATATTTTAGAGTTGGTCATTCTGGACCTGATCCAACCCCCATTGAAGCCAATGGAAAGACTATTGATGCCAGTGGAGGGATGATACCATCTTCACCGGGAGCAATCAGGCTCCCAATGTGCTCCATATTTTTTTCCAAGCAAGGATAGCTATTTTGTCAGGGCTGGAGACATTTTGTTTGGCAGTGACTAGGATCATAAAAACCACACCATGACAAGAGTGCTCAGCCATATTGGCACTTGACTATCAGCCTCCCACACTGCCTGCTCTGAGTAATGACACAACAGTACTCAAACCTTCATTTTTCCTGTCAGGTCTGAAGAGGTTACGTGGCAGAAGGAGAAATGCTGCTAGGGCTCATGAACTGACCAGGCCCAGCTGATATCCATGAAAGGAGGAAGAGGAGAGGCACGGCCAGAGTTGGGGAAAGAATGGACTGAAATTAAGAAGAGACTATGCAACCCTGCTTTGGCCCACAGAGCAGAGAGGGCTTTGTATATTAATATTTATTGTATTTTTCCTATTGTAATAACGCCTAATGATCACAATCAGGATCTCATTGTGTGAGGTGCTCTACACACAGATGAAACACAGCCCCTGCCTTGAACAGCTTACAATTTAGTTTGAGGCAGCCAAAAGTGGGACAAACTAAAGGGGGGGAGTGAGGGAAAAGGGAGATGAGGGCAAAAGAAGATAAGACCACATAGCTACATTGGAAATAAAAGAAGTCTCCAAGGTGAGCATTATGCATGAAAACAGGTCTGAACATACATGCCTTTGTGCTTCTGTACGTACCTTTTCAATTAGGTCAATGCAGGCCTGCAAGTCCAAGCCAAAATCAATGAATACCCATTCAATGCCTTCCTTTTTGTATTCTTCTTGCTCCAAGACAAACATGTGGTGATTGAAAAACTGTTGCAGTTTTTCGTTTGTGTAATTGATGCAAAGTTGCTCAAAGCTGTTATACTATGGTGCAGAAGTGGAAAAGAGAAACAGTCACACAAAATTAAATATGAACGGAGTTCAGTGGAAGGGGTCAGGCATGGAAGAAATAGTCTAAATCTAGAACTATGTATCAGGTAACTGACAGAGAGGCTACCGGGGAGTTTGTCAGGCTAACTGCTTCCTAATGTGCAGTACATAGATACATGAGAATTTCCAGATTTGATCAGAACACTGGTCCATCAAGTTCAGTAAAACCCAGTGCTTCCTAGGAAAGCAAAATCAACACATCAGCCAATTTGTGAAGCACTGTGCATGGGAAGTAACATTCCTTCTTGGCCCCTGTGGTAATCAATTTACTTTGAGGTGATTTGATCACTAGAGACATTTAGTAGGGTAAAGAACAAATGTGACTAAGAGAGAATCATGAACTAGAATCTGCAAAGGTGTTGATATCAGTGGGCACTGGTGGCACTCAACATCTTGCAATATCGGTCATGCAGTTCATGCTTGAATTGGGGAGGTTTGGGACATTCGATAAAGATGGTCAGCTCCAAAAGTTAGGTAGGACTTCTGTCTCATCTGCTCTTGACTCATGCATTTGAAGTTGCCTGGAATAAGGTGTGCTTTAGGGTATTTCTGAGTGTGAATGGGTAGAGGACCATTACCTGGTCTGCAGTGAACAAGGAATTAAGTCCAGTTTAGCTCCCCCCCCCATATAGGTGTCCCCAGAAGACAAAGCAGGAAAGGATACCAATGGGAAGGCTGGGCTCCACACCAGCATTCTTAGGACCAGGACCGGCTCTAGTTTTTTTGCTGCCTCAAGCAAAAAACAAACAAACAAACAAAAAACCCTCCAAGAGTGAGGTGCCGCCCCTGGAATGCCGCCATGCCGCCTCTAGAGTTGTGCCGCCCCAAGCGCGTGCTTGGTTTGCTGGTGCCTAGAGCCAGCCCTGCTTAGGACTAGGCTGAACTCCATGCTAGGGAATCTTTCAGTATATTTTCTAGTTATGTTGGCATATATTGAATTTCCTTCTTGTAAACACTGCCCTCTAGCCTTCAAGAATACACTTTGAGGAAGAAGCCTGTAACAGGGTGCTGGCCAAAAAGGTTCTGGCCAGGCCCCTGTTAGCCCGGCTCCAATTAAGGGGTATTAATTGGTGCTGGCTGGGTGTGGTGCACAAAAGGGCTTAAGGAAAAACACCTGTGGGCCTTGTTAACCAGGAGGCTATATAAAGCTGGCAGGAAGGAAGCAGGGGGAGGGGTGGGAACAGGAAAGGGAGGAGCCTGTGACTGTAGTTTCCAGCTGGCTGAAGAAGCTAGCGGGCTCCCAGGGAGCTGGCTGGAATGGACTGTATATAAACGGTGGTGGGAATTGGCTCAAGGAATAAAAGGGCATTGGTGCTTGCATAACAAGCGGTCTCCGACTGATTTTTGGGATGAGCAGCGAAGTGCTCCGTTACAAGGATTGCTCCTTAGCAATCAAGATACTTTACTCACACACTTCAGTTTACAAAGACATTATAATGATATGAACAATATCACAGAACATAATAAGTTTCCTCTCTAAGATGAAGACTCCTTGGAATAAAATACCCTAAAGCACACTTTATTCCAGTCAACTTCAAATGCATGAGTCAAGAGCAGATGAGACAGAAGTCCTACCTAACTTTTGGAGCTGACCATCTTTATCGAATGTCCCAAACCTCCCCAGTTCTAGCATGAATTGCGTGCCCGATATTGCAAGGTGTTGAGTGCCACCAGTGCCCACTGATATCAACACCTTTGCAGATTCTAGTTCATGATTCTCTTTTTGGTCACATTTGTTCTTTACCCTACTGTCCATTTAGAAGAAAGATGAAACTCAAGAACTATTGCTAAATAGCATTTGGTGGCCTTCAGCTGAGTCCTTACCAACCAATACTCACATCAAAGATTTCAAAGCCAGCAATGTCCAAGACCCCAATGAAGAACTGTCTTGGCAGCCTAGTGTCCAAGGTCTTGTTAATACGGATCACCAGCCACTTGAACATTCGATCATACACTGCCTTGGATAAGGCCCCAACAGCATACACAACCTAAAGGACAGGTTTCAAACACAGTTATCAGGTAATCAGGATGACTGTATGCCTTTACAGTACACAATACTTCTCAAGGCATTTTAGCTATTAAACCTCTGCTTGTAGTTTGAAGACAGTTTGCAGTAATCCTGACTCCGAGTGACAAATGCCTAACGAAATTAGGAAAGCTTTCCCCATAAGCTGTGCTGCACCTTATTTCTGTAGCACTAGCAATAATGTATTTTATTAAATCTATTTATCTGGGGCCAAATCCCAGCCTTACCCCACTCCTTGCTGAAGAGCTGGGCAACACATTGCAACTTGGGATAACATGGCAACCTTGGAGTGCAGCTAGAATCTGGAGCGGGAAGCAGACCGCCACTGATGGCTGTGCACCCTTCTACTGACTCATGAGGGCTCTGTATCCCAGGCCCACGGTGGTGACATCAAAGAGGCCCGCTATCTCCCTGAATGTGGTGGGAATAGAAGATGTCCTCCACAGATGCAGAGGATCTGAATGGGTCTGAATAGCCCCAAGTTTACCATTGGCTAACTGCTCCTTATGTTTTGGAAAGTGCCATGGTCCTCAAACTTGTATCTCTGATGGCTAACTGTCTGTGATGGAAGGGACACTCAAAATATTAAAACAACCCAACACAACTAAACACACTAAATAGCACCAGGTAATGCTTCTTCATTATCCTCTCAAAAAGCCAACTGTGCCAAGAGGAGAGGATGCACATAATATCTGATGGTGCTCTGATTACGAATCGTACACCAGTACCTTGTCTTCAGAGACCCGTTTTCATTGTACCCTAAACTCTTCAGCACCATCCATGCTGTTACTACTCCAACTTTTCAGAGAAACAGCAGCACTAACGTAATGCCTTCTTTACTAGGTAAAGTAAGAGATACTAATGCTTGAGGTTGCTTTGATCCAGACTGGGGCCTTTGGGTTCTAAAATTATGTAAGTGACCAATGAATAAATAATAACAATCCACAACTCAGTTCTTCTAGGTGACTAATTCAGGTCCAGAGTTGTGTCAACTGCACACGTCAGTGTATCTAAGTGGTTTCCTTGAGTGGGTGCTGCTAATCCATAATGAAAACAATGCTACTGGAAAATCTCCTCCTTCCATTATTCCCCTGTAGCACTGCCCTTGGGATCATTACCCTATATCACTTTTTAAAAATTATTAATGGCCAGAACCTACTCTGTGGCCCAGATACCAACAACAGTGCAGTCAAAGGCAGAGTAGCACATGGCAGCAGCACAAAGCAGACTGCTGGACTGAGCCCCTTACTTGGGAAAGAAATCCATGCTCAAGCTCAGTGGTTTGAACATTGGCCTGCTAAACCCAGGGTTGTGAGTTCAATCCTTGAGGGGGCCATTTAGGGATCTGGGGCAAAAATCTGTCTGGGGCTTGGTCTTGCTTTGAGCAGGGGGTTGGACTAGATGACCTTCTGAGGTCCCTTCCAACCCTGATAATCTATGAAAAACGAGAGTCCACTGTATGCCAGGACAAATGGTGAAGAAAGGACAAAGTGGGAAAGCTTTTTAGAGTTGCCCAAAGTTTTGACAGAACTGGGCCCAATTCAGTTTTAAATCTACCCATGGCCAACACAATTATTACAAAAACCAAACATGGGCTTTAGTCCATGATTGAAATGACATTTCCACAAATCAATAAGCTGTCCACACCCAGGAAAAAAATTGTTTTCCAGGGGAAAAAAAAACCCTTTGTGATAAGATATAATTTTGGATTATAAAGAGATAAATTAGAAGACAGTCCAGTGCTTGTATAATGCAGAGACATTACATTAATATTTTTAGCTATCTTTTCTTTGTGTAAAGTTCTAGAGCAAAAAGCTGTCAGCTTGTAGAACAGATGTCCAGTCTGTTGGATCAAATGCCTGGAAAGCTTCTTCTCACCTGTTCGACACTTTGACCTTTGGTGACGTACTCATTTCCAACTTTCACTCTGGGGTGCAACAAACCCTTAACCAAATCAGAGGAGTTAAGTCCCATCAGGTAAGCAGCTTTATCAGTATCTAGTCCAAAGAAACAGGATTTCAAATTAATTTTAATTGATACTTGAAAACATGCCTGCACAGGAACAGGAATTAGGTCTATCAATTTTTAAACAGAGAAACTGGACAATGGCTTCTGAATTATTTCTAGGTTTGCCTTACTTTCAGTGCCATCAGTCTCTGCTTGCTCCTCCCTGGGTCTTTGTTTAAATTTCATGTTTCCAAAGTGCATGATCGAACCAGTAAGCTTGTAGGCACCATATTTTTCATCGGGAATAAATCCCAAGATGTCCATGGCTTGCTATAAAAAGGAAACACGAGAGAATATTTTGTTACTTGCCTCTTCGATAATACCAGCATCTTACAGTTCCATAAGGCATCTCTGAATGGCTGGCATTACAAACTGTTCTGCAGATCCTCTCTGAAACAGGAGCTATTATAACAGTCTTGATACCACTCATTGCAGGAGACATTACTTAGTCACACTGGAAATCCACATTCTTCTCAGTGTCTCCACTCCATGGACCTTTTATATGAAAGTGAAGAGGATTTTGTGCCCAGGAACAATACTTGCAGATGTTCAAGACCAAATTGTAAGGATTATCAAATCTCATGCTTCATGGTGTGTCAAGGCTGCTTCCCCACTCTGAACTTTAGGGTACAAATGTGGGGGCCTGCATGAAAACTTCTAAGCTTAACTACCAGCTTAGATCTGGTCCACTGCCACCAACCCAAAGCTAATTCCCTTCCCTGGGTAGCCTTGAGAGATCTTCACCAATTCCCTGGTGAATACAGATCCAAACCCCTTGAATCTTAAAACAAGGAGAAATTAACCATCCCCCTCCTTTC